TCAACAAATAAATTAAGATTTACAAACAAGAGCAACTTGCTTTTTTATTATCTGAGCTGGAGATTTGCACACAGCCCTTTCCTCTTGCCTGGAGCTGATCCTGCCAAAAGTGAAGAATTTGCACTCTTGTCCCACGAAAACAGGAGACTCGGGGCTAAAGCCTGAGATCTGGCAACCCTACTGGACAACCCTACTGAAAAATCCTATTACCTGTTGACTCCTCTTCCAATTTGCACCCTAAGGATGCGTCTCCAGTCAAACATTTAGTCAAATATAACCCCAGGTTGTTCAGTCTTCCTAAAGGGCAGTGTGTCTGGTTCAGGCCAAGATGAATATGGTCCCCATCAGCTTTCTCTGTTCCAACTGAGTCTGTGCCAGGAATCCCAAAGTAGCTTGCCAGGGGCAGAAGGGAATGCTTGGTTGGCTGCTTTAGAAAAAGGAGCTGTCACTGTTGCCTTCCATCCTCCAAGCGATGCCTTTCTCAAGTCTGGAAAATGGTTTTGGCACCCTATGCGCCGCGTTAGACCGGGTCGGTGACTGTGGCAGACCCAGGAGAACAACAGCAGCGGTGACAGCTGAATTTAAAGGGATTTAAAGGAAGGGTTAGAGAGCAGACTCGTCGCTTACTGCTCACCCAGATATATCTTTTTCCTTATTTTTGTGCCACACCAAGGTGTTATTTCTGCAAGGTGGGAAGCATTAATAAGAAAGAGCAGTACAGAATTACAACCTGGAGTAGAAGGAATGCTGAGATCAGTTAAGGTCAGATTTGTGCCACGTCGAGTACAGTACATTCTCTCCACACCTTAGCCTCCTGTGTTGCTATTTTATTCATTGCACACCAGCCAATATTACATACAGTCTCGTGAAATCAAACAGTTTTCCAGCTTTCTCAAAGAATTCTTTTGCAACCAATCTCAGGATGCATCTATTCTAAAAAATAAAGCAGCTCGAAACCATTGTTAAGTGCTATAGCTCCATGCTATGGAATCCTGGGATTTGTAGTAGTTTTGCAAAGTCTTTAGCCTTCTCTGCCAAAGTATGCTGGTGCATCACAAAATTACAAATCCTAGGATTCTGTAGGATGGAGCTATGGCAGTTAATGCAGTGTCAGATGACATTATTTCTACAGTGTAGATGCACCTAAGAAAATGCCTTTTGTTAAAAGTGCCTGATGCACATTAGAAGCACTCAATGTAAGAGAGAAATGCTCAAGGCACATGAGAAGTTTGTGACCTATGCATGTAGAAGTTGCACTATGCATGCAGGAGTGAATGATTTGCCATACCACAATGGAGGTATGTACAGAGATCTTGTAGCACTTTTGAGACTAACTAAAGAAAGAAGTTGGCAGCATGAGCTCTCGTAGACTTAACTCTACTTCCTTAGATGCATTTGATAAGGTGCTACAAGATCTCTCTACATATTGATACTACAGACTAACATGGCTATCGCTTGAATTCTACCACAATGGAGGTATGCATTCTGCTGACAAATGAAGTTTTGCATACAGTAACGTTGCATCTTGTGGTCATTCATTGCGGATTGCACGTTGCTCTTGTGAATTGCTCATTGTGCACAACGGCACCCGGTTGTTGAGATGTGTTGCACACGGTTGCTATTCTGCATGGGGCTTGCACAGTACTGGAGTCATATACCTCTGTGTGTGGATATTTATGGTTCATTGAGGGGATGTAGATTGCAGCCACAGGCCAGTATCCCATGTGTGCGTAAGTCTTTCTCTCTTTCTTTCTTTTTTGGATAGGGCACAAGGAGCTGTTCTCTTACTCTTGTGGTCCATCAAAAGCATCCCCCAGTAGTTGTTAAGCTCTGGAACAGGATGCTATTTCTTCTTATTGTTGGGAAGAGAGGGCATAATTCAGACCATGAAGATATGGGTGTTATAGGCTCTTAGAGGAAAGAAAAAGAGGGTGCATTACATCCACGCATGCACCACCATTTCTTCCTCTTCCAGGTTGAGTCCAGCTAGCGCTTCAAGTCCTGAACCATCTCCATCCTCCTTGTCCTCCCCTTCCATACTCATTGGCTGCTGGGAGGAAGAAAGAACATGGAATTGTGCAGATGGAAATACAGTGAGATGAAAGATTTTCACCGCAGACTAAACACCCTGGAGAGGTCCTTTTCTTTTCTTTTCCTAGGAGCAAGGGGAAAGTCAGATTTCTTCAGAGGAGGAAGAAAATCCTCACTGAATCGAACTTCAATGAGACTTTGAAGAAAGTAATGATGCTTTTAATAAAATGATCCAGACATTTCTTGGTAATGTTCATGGGAAACAAACTCCTATGCAAACTGATTCAGAGGGACCTTACACTGGCAAGTGCATTTGGAGCTTTGTGTTTCATCCTTCCCCATGGTCCTGCCATTTTCACTTGCAACGAAAGCACAATGAGGCCCGTGTGGATGAACAAAATCTACAGGCAAGCGTTCCCAGATCGCTCCTCCTGAAAGCCAGATACACACATTATTGTTTCTCCTGTCGTCATCACCGTCAGCATCAGCATCAGACCTTAGTTGATGTATGGTGAGTTGAATCAATGACAAATCCCATTGATCCAGTGGATCTTCTTTAACTGGGACTAACAATAAAATTCAGACGTCTCTCTGCTAGGTCGGAGCATATATCCCATTCTGGAATGAGTCATTCCTTAGTCGGTCCCTTCTGCGTTTTGTTTCCAGGCAGCATTAAACTTGCCAGATTGGCATTATTTTATTTTATTTTTAATTTAATCTCTCTCTCTCTCTCTCTCTCTCTCTCTCTCTCTCTCTCTCTCTTTTTTTTTTTTTGGTGAGAGCCTGCCAAGAGGAACTAGAAGAACACACTCATCTCTTTTCTTCCCATCAACATAAATCTCCTTTCATTACTTCCAGTGCCGTTAATCCTCAAGCGTTTGGAGCTGGGCCAACACGATGCCCTTTGCTTATGAAGAGGAAATAGATTTCTAGAAGATGACAGGGGAAGGGGGAAAAAAGTCCCTTGCACTTCTAAAACAATTTATGACTCGTGCGTCCTTTTATAGCTGGAAGCAAAGGAGTTGCAAGATTTCTGAAATGCATTGCCAAGTTGAATGCCTCGAACCGTAGAGTTGGATGAAGGGTCGTAAAGTTTTTCCTCCATTCTTCTGTCTGCTCTTTTGCCAGGATGAAATCGACCGGAAAGCTCTGAGATCAGGAAGAGAGGCTATGAACAAGTTTGAGTATATATCTATCTACTCAGAAGTAGACACTCAATGGAGGTTTTTTGTTATTATGTACCTTCAAGTTGACTCTGACTTATGGTGACCCTTTCCAAGGGTTTTCTTCACTAGATTTCTTCCGAGGGGATTTGCCATTGCCTTCCTCTTAGGCTGAGAGGATGTGACTTGCTCAAGAACGTGTGGCTTTCCATGGTTGGGATTCGAACTCTGGTCTCCTGGAGTCCAAGTCCAACACTCAAACATTGCTTCACTTATAAATTACACATATTTACTACAATAATACCATTTAAACCATCCGGTAGAATAATAATATCATAGAAACCATTTAAAAAATGCTCATACAGCAAAAATTAGATTATTGCAAAGCAACCATAATGTAAGGCATCCTATCCCTGAAACTTAAAAAAAAAAGGGGGGGGGGATCATATATGGATGCGGTATCTTGTCCAATAATTCAAATATAAATCCATTTAAAGAAAATGTAAAGTTCATGGAATTTCTGACGTACATTTTACAGAACATGAATGTCGACTTGACAATTCAGGACATTTTTGCATTATATTCTAAGCAGTAAATGAGTATCAGACTTTCCTGGTTAATCTTTTATGATCAGTGAAGGAGGCCATCCACCTTGAGCTCCATGCGGAAAAATGGAGTGTCAATGTATCAAACAGTTTTATACTCTCAGTCTAGGATGCAATGATTTGGATGAAGTCTTTTATTCCTTTTCCTTTTCCTTCCCTACCAGCCAGTTGCATTGGTCCTATCTTGCTCTCTCTAACCCCCTTGATTTATCTCTCTATCCCAGATTCTTTGGTGACCCAACCAGAAATTATAGACTGATGCAAAGATTGTGGACTGATGCAGGACCTTCCTTCCAAAACAGCTGGGGACCAGGGACACAGAAACAAGGGAGGGCATCTCATTCCCTGAAATAACAATGAGGTGACAGATCCGAGAGTCAAGGAGCGTGAAACACAAGGGGCGATGAGCTCTGAGCCATGTCACATCTTGAATCAATCCTATTTATAGACCATCTGCAAAACCACGATAAAGCCAGGGACCTGATGGAACTGCGATGAGACTGAGCCACAGCTGCGTGTCCTCCGAGTGCCCTCCCTAGTTTTCCTGGAGCATTCGTTTCGTTGGCTTCAAACATAAATAAAGGATTTCTTAAACACACGCACATAATGGTGTGTGTTGTGTGCCTGGATGGGTGAGAGAAGGACTGCAGTGAAGGTCAAGCTTCTGCATGGTGCATTTGCAATGCAGTGCATGTGAAATGAGAGCCAGCGTGGTGTAAGTAATTTGAGCGTTGGACTAGGACTCTGGAGAACAGGGTTCGAATCCCTGCTCAGCCATGAAATCTACTAGGTGACAGTGGGCAAGATGCACTCTCTCAGCCTCAGAGGACGACAATGGTAAACTGACCCAGAAAAAATAAATCTTAAGAGCCAGATGGTCTGAGTGCTGGACTAGGACTCTGAGAGACCAGGGTTCAATCCCTACTCAGCCATGAAACCCTCTGGATGACCTTGGGCTGAGTCACACTTTCTCAGCCTCAGGAAGGCAATGGCAAACCTCCTCTGAACATCTCTTGCCAAAAAAAAATCCCACCCACAATAGGGTTGCCATAAGTTGGAAATGACCTGAATGCACACAGCAGCAACTTCAGCAAGCATGAATCTACAACAGCTGGTAGGATTTGTTCAGAGGAGGTTTTCCATTGTGTTCCACTGAGGCTGAGAGAGCATAGCTTGCCCAAGGTGACCCAGTGGGTTTCCATGGCTGAGCTGGGATTTGAACCCTGGTCACCAGAGTCATAGTCCAATGCTCAAACCGCTGTACCACACTGTCTCTCATTGACCTCTTCTTACAGGGAAGATAGTTCATGCCTGTGTGCACTCGTCCAGTGAATCTGCAGGGCTTGCTGCTCTATCCCATTGCCTTCAGTGTTGTAAACAGGAGCACAGGCCATTTGCAAGTTCAGCTTGGAATGACTGACTACTCTTGTCTCTCTTCCTCCCACCAGCAGAAGTGACATTTCCTATGGATATCAAAATCTGTACTCCTCAGCTTTTCATTACGAGTCTAATATCCAGATGGTTATTATAACAGAGTGAAGGGGGGGGGGTTGCAATTGCAGAAAGGAGGTATTGCAGGAAGGAGTGCAAGATGAGATGAAATACATCAGAAGCACATTTAGAGGGGGACTGTGTACTGATAACCAGCCATGGTGTAGCGGTTTGAGCATTGGACTACGACTCTGGAGACCAGGGTTTGATTCCCTGCTTAGCCATGGAAACCCACTGGGGGATCTTGAGTGAGTCACACACTCTCAGCCCCAGAAAAATGATAGGCTTGCCTTAGAGTCATCATCAGTCGGAAAAGACTTGAAGGCACACAAGAACAAGAACAACATAAATCCGGTGCTGGAGAGCCAGTATCATGTAGAGGTGCTTGACTTGAATACTGTGAGACCGGGGTTGGCATTTCTGTTCAGAAATGTTCATGACTATTCAGTCATGGAAACCCATTGGGTGACCTTGGTCAAGTCACACACTCTCAGCCTTAAAGGAAGGCAAAGGCAAACCCAACATATCCAACAAATCCAGTCAAGAAAATGACATGATAGGGTTGGCGTAGGTAGGAAACAATTTGAAGACACACAACAGCAGCAGCAGCAACAACAACAACAACAACCAGCATTGCAATGGAATCCAGGGACTCTTTCACACTCCACAGTTATAGCATTGAACTGCTATACCATATAACAGTGCAAATATACACATGGGGAGATATGTTATACCAGCTTTACACACACAGACCATGCAAAATAGCAACGCTGCACAAGATGTGCCAATGACTGGGTGCTTTGATGCAATGAGTAATGAGCAAGCGCAAGGCACAAACACAATTTTTTTTACTGTTGTTGTTGTGTGCCTCCAAGTTGTTTCTGGCTTAAGGCAGCCCTAAGGGGAATGGATCATGGGGTTTTCTTGGCAAGATTTCTTCAGAGGAGGTTTGTCATTGCTATCCTCTGAGGTTGAGAGAGGGTGAACCCAGGGCCGTAGTCCAACATGCAAACCATTGCACTATGCTGGCTCTCACACACAAAAGGCATGCACAAACCCACTTCCACAACCTTAAACAAAATGCAGGAATTCTGCATTGGCATTCAACGTCCTGAAAGGCATAGGGCAGGGAAGTGGAGTTAAGGAGGATCGCAGAAGAGCAAGCAAGGGACCATTGATGGCAAAACCAGCACTTTTGCACTATGCAGAGACATGTAATATTTGAATATTGCTTTACTGGTATATTTCCATTTTCTTTTACTTATGCAATTGCAGCAAGACTAAAGTTCATTTGATAATATCCTCAGATGATAGAGCTTGCCAATGTAGTTACAATAATAATACAGAATCTTGTCCTTAACCAGTAACTTACTTCTGGAATTAAGATAGTGGAGAAAATCCAATTCAGCTCAATTTTATATATATATATAATTGCCCGTTCTGTTACAGAATTTCCTATCTTAATAGATTTTAATTGATTAGTTCCTATCATCTGATCCAGCTCTATTCATGATCATGAATGGAGTATCTATGTCACATACTGGAACGCTAAGCTTCAAAATGCCGCGTGTTTTTCACGTTGTGCTTTTTAGCAGCGACACAAAGGAAAATGCACCCTTTTCTTGAACATTTAGATGTAATTCAGCAGCAGCTCTCATTTGCATCTTTCCAGCCTTTTCTGCCCTAGCTCCTTGAATTATGGCTGAACATTTTGCTCTGTTGATAGTTTAATAGAGAAAATATGGAGATTTGTTTTATTTCTACCAATGGTGTTTGAAAACACACACACGCACATAACACAGAAAGGAATTAGAGCTGGCTCGTATTATAGCACATTGACGCTTAGATGTAATGCCATTCACCGACCAAAGGCTGCTGGGGAATGAAGAAAAATGATCCAAATTTGTGGCTCAGTATTTATTAGCATTTAGATAATACACCCCATTCATCACAGGCATGGGTGTCTTTCAAGAGTCCCTTCTCCACTCTTTGAATCCTTGAAAAATTCCCTTTTTTCCCCTTGATCTTAAAAATTCATCTGGGAGAAAGATTCTTTTTCTCTGATTCCTACACTTCCAGATGGAAACAAGTCCCACTGAAATTAAAGGACCATAAGAGCGTGATCATTAATATGGAATATAGGTTAGCATCCTCTATTACAGTCCACATTATGTAACTTTATGTATATTTAGCTACAAAGCAGAGGCGCTAAGAAACCCGGTTAGTGAATTGCAAAGATGCATGATAGGACACTGACAAGAGTCCCATTTTAATTCCTGTAGACATTCCCTGCTTAGCCAGGTAGACAAAACCTTGCAGCAATTTCTCTTTGCCCCAGTGCTCCCTTTCCAAGCGAAAGTGTGGAACAAGGAGAGGAGACAAGAGTTGGAAACATAGGGTTGTTGTGTGTCTCTTTTCATCCTAGCAAAGCTCCGAGGAAGAGCTTGCCATTTCCCACTCCAACATCTTGGATGCTGGGGTCATGTTGCTTATGCAACAACTTGCTCATTGCGGTTGCTAGCTGGGAAGATTGACAGCCAAATAGGCACAATCCACTGCAGGAGGTTCAAAACCTTTCAAAGAGGATGCGGTTACTTTTGGCAGGAGTCCGTTAGTGGGTTTCTCTCCTCCTTTGCCTTTTATATTTAAAGTTTAAGCCGCGCTGTAGAGTGGATCAGCATCACAGGAAAGGATGTCAAAAGGTTGCCAAACTTTTGGTCCTCCAGGTGTTTGGGACTTTGAAGCCCCAGCCAGCTTGGTTAATGGAAAGTCTGGAGCTGGAGTCCAAAACATCTGGAGGACCAAAGTTTGGGAATCACTGGTGTAGATGCACCTTAAGGAATCTGGAAAGGTTGAGGGCCATAATGCTGTTTTGGGGACACACAACCATGAATGTGAGATTTTTTCTCCCCCAAGTGCTGGTTATGTTCCATTAAAGCCAATGTCTTGCTCTGCATTCAAGGAGGTTTCCATACATAATGTTCATTGAAGGTGTGTTAGTGCTGTTTACCCCTATTCAGAAACCAGACTCTTTTATTTAAATGCTTGCACAACTGTTTCGATCTTTTCCTAAGGTGAACCAATTTTCCAAAAAAGGCAAGCTTATTCTTGGGTGGGAATGCTGAATCCAAATCTCAGAGGTGAGTGCAAGCAAGCGGAGGTTGTCGGAGAAAGAGAAAAATGAAACGTATCTCTGGTTTTGCCTGGTTTCCACTGGGACAAAGCGCCTTTCATTTCCAATTGTAGCCCGTCTTTGTTTGCAGGTGGGCCGCACGTCGTGTTGGATTTGCTCGCTGCCTTTTCCAGGTGTATGTCTCTCTCTTTTTTGCAACGCTGCCGTGACAAAGCAAAGGCAAGGCTTCGCTTCTGCAAAACAAGGGCCCAGTGAAAAGTCAGAGCACCAGAGCTATTTTGCTTTACATTAAAAGAAATCTGGTTTGAGACACAATGAGTTTGACGGTTCAGGGAAAGAGGGAAAAATAAGGAGGGGGGGATAGGATAGAGATTAATTTCTATAAAAATAGACATAGGTCCAAAAAACACTGCAGAAATAATACAGTTTGAAACTGCTTTAACTGCCCCGGCTCAATGCTAGGGAATTCAAGAGATATGTAGCCTTCGCCATCAGAGAGCTCTGGTGCCACAAGAAACTACAATTCCCAATAGGATTCCCTAGCATTGAACCAAGGCAGTTAAAGCAGTCTCAAACTGGATTATTTTTGCAGTGTGTTTTGGACCTAAGGTATCCAAACCCAGCGCTCTCTGGTCTCATACCCTTTCAGCGGTTTCAGTTTTGCAGGGACAGTCCCAATAAATACTTTGTCATCCCATTTTTTTCTGCTGCTTTTAAAATGTCCCAGTTTCTCCCTCCTCCTCCCACTTTCAGTCTTTCTCCTCAGCTTACTTCAGTTGCTGCAAAAGGAGTTCAAAGTAGTTTGGATACAATTAACTCAATATCTTTGTGGTTTGTTTTTTTAGAATCTTGTCTTTCCCAGCAAAAGCAAACTGTTGCCTTTATTAATAACTTTTGTCTTCTTGAGCACACTCTGACATTGCTTAGACACACATGTCCTGTTTTCATCTATGAAATGCTGGAAGGTATGATGCAGATGTAGAGAGGTTGAGAGAGTGTGACTTGCCTAAGGTCACCCAGTGGGTTTACATGACTGAGCTAGGATATGAACCCTGCTCTGCAGAGTCATAGTCCTATGCTCAAACCACTACACCGCACTGGTATAGATATAGATATATCCATAGCTGTATCTAAATTGCAGAAATAATCCAGTTTGACACCACCTTAACTGCTGTGGCTCAATGCTATGGAATTCTGGGAACTGTAGTTTGGTCAGATATTTAACCTACTACAATTCCTCAAATCCCATAGCATTGAACCATGGCAGTTAAAGTGGTGTCAACCTGGATTATTTCTGCAGTGCGAACGCAGCCTACTTTAACCCACCGGTGAGCAGTGCATCGAATCTAAGAATTTAAGATTCTCTGATTCTGCAATGTTGCCATGGCAATTGTAGTGCAACATGGCACTATAATCAAGTAGTATGAAATCTGGCCAACTCTGTGGAATAGCAATCCTATAGATAATGGAACGATGTTACAGTAGATTGGGTTTCCTTGTGTATCTCACATGAAATAGTTAAACCTCTGACTACTGCCACAGCATGGTAAAATCTGAGATGATGAGAAAAGGCAATTCCCCCGATGTTGCTAGACACAGAATTTATGGCTGTCACCGACAGGTTGGCTGAAAGCCCAGAATTTCATACA